AATTACAAATAGTGAAAACAGAAGAGAGAATCTTTTTTGGTGCAATTTTCCAATGCGTCGTCCACCTCAGATATTGCAAGTGGCTCATTCTTTAATATTTACAAAGCCTTCCATTGGATCAATCATTCACACGGTAATAAGATTTCTTTGCCAATTCATATTTAACTTTATTATTAGCTTTAATAATTTCACATGTGTGTCTCAAAGTCAATTCCAGAATAGATTTATGTTTTCTTATCATCAAATACATACTCCCTTTCATCCTTTTCATATTGGTCTTATTTATAAGACATGACAATCTCTAGTATGGAGTATTTATTATTTATTATAATTTTTCTTTTTTGCCTTTGTTAATGAGAGTATTGATAAAAAACAATAAAATGTTTATTAGTATATCCAGTGAGAGTGTGAGACTGTGATATTAGTATTGCAGGAATAGTCAAAATCGAGTCCTCTGACTCGTTCTCACTTCATTCATATTGTTAGTAAAAATGTTTCTTTGTTTTTTTTTCCTTCGAGGAAAAAAAACATTTTGATCACCAGCATTTGATCCTAGCCAATCAAATCACCGTGAAGAATTAAAATTTTGATAAATATCCCATTCATTTTTTTAATGTTTTTCAATAAAGTAATATACTCCTGCGTGCGAATATATATACATGTATGTGTGTGTATTTATGTATGTGCAAACTCATTTTGGCTCTTAATATAAAATAACGTTTACAAGTTTTTTGTCCTTAATATAAGATAAAATTAGAGTAACTAATAATTTTTTAAAATTTTATTCGGTTTATTTATTGTTGTTTGAATTTTTAGGCAACAACTTATTATGATTATTAATTACAAATAAAGATAAAATTGAAAATTTATATTATATATATTTTTTTATAATTTTAAGGTTATATTAACATTTCTTAATAAATACGAAATTGATTTCATCTTATTGGTAGATGTGATTAGTTTAAATTCAATTTAAAACATTTTAACAAAAATAAAGTTTTGTTAATTATACTTGTTTCAATATAATTTTACTCTTTTTTTTATTATGTTTCTCTTTTTATTTAATGTTTCACAAATAAAGTCAAATTAAAAGAAGGTTATTTTTAAAAATTTGTATTTGTATCTTTTTAAAAATATTATAAAATATATTTAATAAACTTTACTTGTATACATACATAATTTTGTCAGAAAGTGTTTTATGCTTTCTTCAAACTATCATTTTTTAGAAGTTAATTTACGTCGTCCAAAATATGTCATTGAATAAGTCTTATATAATTTTTTAATTATATTCTTATTTTATCATACTCTATCCAAATAATTAATGAAAGTTTTTTTTGAATAAATTAAATGTTACAAAATAAATATTTTAATTAAATTTTTTAAAAAATATAACTTAATTAATAATGATTTATAAATGGGAGTAGATGGAGTATTTTTTTAAGAAAAAAACTTATATACTTAGCTTTATATTACTTAATATGTTTATTTTTAATTAAATCAAGACATGTGAACCTTGTATAAATTATTTAGTCTATAATAAATTATTATTATTAATATATTAAAATTCATTTATTATGTAATTGAATATAAGCATATAAGTATTATTTTTTTTAATATGTTTGGGAGAACGTGTCCGGATCCTACTGGCCATGAATTTTACGAAACCGTTGGTAATGGGAATACGGCTTCCACGGTCAACACTCAACACGGCAATGCAGCATGGAAACTATCAAACCAAGAACAACGAGACAAATGTAGTTAACAAACTAGCATTCCCATACATGGCTACATATTTTTTTGTTTTCAAAATTGGGTCTCTCTCTGTTTTTTTTTCCCCTCATAAAAAAATAAATATATTTTCCCATACATTATAATTTTTTTTGATAAATACATTGTATGTTATAACTTATAGTGTGGCCTAGAACCTCCACATAAATTTGATAGAATGACCTAATCGGCTTGTAGAATTTTTTTTTCAATTGTAGTTTTATTTTGTTTTGTTGGACTCTTTAGCTTTATTTTAATAGAAATATATTTTTTTGGCAAAAAAAAAAATCGGTTTGTATAAATTTAATATTAGAAATTAATATAGCAGTATGCGTAATGGGTACGTATAATACAATATGATTTTTTTATTCTGAAATTGGGTACACTTTGATACAATATAAATATATTCTGTTTGCATGTGTGTGTATACATTCAATCTATTAATGCAAGAAAAATAAATAATATAATGTAAAAAAATTGAATTTTTAACAAATATTTTATAAGTAATATTTTTTTGGCCTACATTTTACAAGTAATATAGAGATATATATTAAGAACAGACAACTGAAATTTTTTAAAAGTTATTTTAAAATTATTTTCATTTATAAGACTATAAATATGGTACATGTTCTTATTGAAGGCGAAAATCAGCATTTCTTTCTGTCATTCTATTATTAAATATGGAAAAATTATAATATAAAACTTAATTTAAACCATTATGTTAAGGAAATATCACATGTAAGAAATTGGATTTTATAAGTTAAAGATTAAATGAGTTGTAGAGCTATAATTACATTGCACAAAATTATTACAAAGTCATATATAATTAGTGCAGTTGAGATTATTACATGAAATCTAAAAGATGAGTTATACTATTCTTGGGGTTCATTAAAGTTATATATTATATATATATATATATATATATAGAGAGAGAGAGAGAGAGAGAGAGATTTGTTATTAAATTTAATTTCAAAAGACATTATATTATCAAAATTTTTTTTGGTAAAAAAGAAAGAGGCATGATCAAAATTACTAACAAGTATAATTTTAAAACTTTATAATATTGTTCCAAAATTTAAGATTAATTAACTAGACATAGTGTAAAATAAATTAAATTATTTGCGATTTGTAAATACTCTATAACTAATATACCTAGCTTTATAATTTAAAATATAGAATTAATGCGTCCATTTTTCAGCTCTACCAATCCATGTCAACAGTACATGCCATACAAATCTGGACCATTTCTATTGGAATCTCTTGTTTTTTTTTTTTTTTTCAATCTCTCTTTGTCTACTTCTAGTCTCTAGATTAATTTCAAAGGCCCAGATCAATCCCCTATGTATATATGCTGAAGCCGCATTTTAGATTAATAAAACTTGATATCTTGGAGAATTTCAAAGGCAAGAAAACAAATTAAAGACAGAATTTGATTATTAATGATGGTAGTTCCCAATTCCATGAGAAACTTCAAATTTTAAGAATGAAGGAATGGGACTAAAAAGTTGAATTAAACTTAAATAATTAAAGATTGCTAAAAGATTTGAAATAACGACCAAAGGTCTTTTGGTGAATTTGTCTAGAAATTTGCTACTTTCATTCCATGATTTGTAACCACCAAAATAAGAACTTTAAAGTAAAACTTACTAATTTGAAAAGAAAAAACTTGTCAAACATTATCACCGCAGCTTCGAGTAATTCACTACTCTCAAATCCTTATTTGCAACCTTCAAAATATGAATTTTCAAGTAAGATTTGTTAATTTGTGTAGAGAAAAGATTTTCAAGTAATGATATATTTAACAAGTTTTTCCTTGAAAAATTAACAAAACTCACTTGCAAACATACTTTTAGATCAAAGCACTAAAAACCGTTTAGCTTTAAAATTTTAGATTAAAATTAAAACTCACATTTAAAATTCACATATTTAAAATTTTTGGTTTGGATAGTGTAAGAAAATTTAAAGGTAATAAAGGGAGACAAGTTGAAATTCAAAGTAGAAATGAAAGATTAGATGTGATGAGTTTACATTTGTTTTTCAATCGATAAGAGACAAAAATAAGATAAGAGAGGGGTGATGAGAATAGATAATAAAAATATGAAGAAAACAGGTAAAATTTCAAATAACTTAAGTCTAAAGTACATTTAAAATTACAAAAAAGTTATAATAAAACAAATCAAAATTCAAAGAGATTTTTATGCATCCAAGTAGAGGATTTCATTTAAATCCAAATCCTTGTACACCAAAACACACATTTAGAATAAGACTTAGTCAACTGAAATGTGTATTATATATCCATAAAGGGGATCTTAATTTCAATTGAGAAGATTCATCAACATGAGAGGAAGAGAGAGAAAGGTCTATATATTTTATTTAGTTATTTAGCTAAACCAGTAATTTGTTATTGGAGCATGTAGCAACAACCATTTCATCTGCATAAGTATTTTGTTTTGCCAATGGATTTACATATTTCATTAATGGAAGTTACTTTATGCAGTGGGGATGGAAAGATTAAAAAATTCTACCTCCATTCTAAATTATAAAATACTTTTAAAAGAGTTTTTCCATCTAAAAATATAAGATATTTTGAGTAAAATAAGATTTTATTAAATGCGTCAATTTCAATTTACACTTACTCTCTCTATAATTAATGTTGGTCTCTTTTCTTTTAAATATATTAAATAATGAGTATTTTTAGAAGTTTATATTTTTGTTTTGGAAATATAAAGTGGTTAAGTGTATTAAATGAAATTTATTAATATGTGTGATTTTATTTAAAAATGTCTCATAACTTGAGACGGAGGGAGTATATTATTGCATTTTTTGTTTAATTTTAAAATAAAAATAAAAATAAAAATAAAAATTTTAATATGGATCTAGATTAGATTTAATAGGGGAGGGAGGGGGCGAGAGGGGCGAAGTCAAGTCCATATTAGTGCTCTTCAAAAATTTCTGTCCAGGCAGTTCATACCATCGATTATGTTTTGATCTTAGCTCTCAATTTAGTCTTTATTTTAAATTTACAAATCTTTTTTTTTTTTTTTAATTCTCTTATTGTGCTTCAATGTGATTTTCCCTTTCCGAATTGACCTAGGCCTCCAAAATTAATGCAACCAAGGTTTTTTCCTTTTTCTGTTGTGCGTGTGTGTGTTTGTTTTGTTTTTTGGGCCAAGAAACCGTACATCAGTACTAGTAACCCTCCTTCCTTCCTTCCTTCCTTGCTTCTCCATTTTTACCTTCGTAAGTTATGCCCTTCCCTGCTCCTATTCCATCCTCGAACTCACCGTTCCTCTCTCTCTTTCCTCTTTGATCCCTTCTTTTTAATCTTTCCTTCTTCCTAATTCTTTACGTTATTCATTATCTTCTCTACCTTTCGTCTTACTTTCTCTCTCTGCCCTTTCCAGTCTCCGCCATGCGGATCCTCTCATGGCTGGATTCTTGCTCCACCGTCTCCTGCGCCACCGCCACTCTCCACTCAACCATTTCCACCTCTACGCCCACCAAGCCCTCTGCTGCTTCCGATGAATTCGTTACCTCCTCCGACATACCCTCTTCTTCTTCTTCTTCTTCTACTACCTCTCGAGACACTACTACTAGCAGTCTCCATAGCAACCTCTCCGTCCAGACCCACCCTTCTGTTCCTTCTCTCCAGAAGCTTCCCTCCTCCCATGACTACTTCAATCGCCTCGTCGTCTCTCAACATTTCCTTGCTTCTCTAAATCCTCTCCCATCTCAGCCTCTTACCTGTCTTGCCGTCCACGGCGATCTCCTCTACGCCGCCTCCTCCCACCAAATCAACGTCTACGATCGCCGCACCTGCACCACCCTCCGCTCCTTCGGCTCCCAACATTCATCTTCCGGATCCACCAAGGCACTTATTTTTTGCCACGGTATGCTTCTCACCAGTCACCAGGACTCTAAAATTCGGGTGTGGAAATTACTTCCCGATAAGAAATATCAGAAGCTCACCGTTCTTCCCACCGTCAACGACCGTCTACGTCGTTTCATTCTTCCGAAGAACTACGTCACCGTACGGCGTCACAGGAAACAGCTCTGGATACAGCATGCAGACGCCGTCACGGGTCTGGCTGTTTATAACAACATTATCTACTCTGTGTCTTGGGATAAGAGCATGAAGATATGGCGCGCCAGCGATTTGCGTTGCTTGGAATCTGTTAAAGCTCACGAGGACGCAGTGAACGCGGTGGTTGTTTCCAAAGACGGAACCGTATACACAGGATCCGCGGATAAACGGATTCGGGTATGGAGCAAACCGGGCGGAGAAAAGACGCACGTGTTAATAGCGACGTTGGAGAAGCACAAGTCGGCGATAAATGCCTTGGCGTTAAACGAAGAAGGGTCGGTGCTATTTTCCGGTGCGTGCGACCGTTCAATACTGGTGTGGGAGAGAGAGCACAGTGCGAATCACATGGTGGTGAGTGGAGCGTTGAGAGGGCACGGAAAAGCGATCTTGTGTTTGATCAACGTTCGTGATTTGCTCCTGAGTGGGTCAGCAGATCGGACGGTCAGGATTTGGAAGCAAGGAGTTCAGGGCAGTTACGGTTGCATTGCCGTTCTGGTGGGTCATGAGAAGCCGGTGAAGAGCTTAGCGGCCGTTACGGAATCGGAAGGTTCTGAACCAAACGGTGACGTTTCAGTGTTCAGCGGATCACTTGACGGCGAGATTAGGGTTTGGAGAGTTTCCATCAGCATCGACGTAGACGCGGATATGAACGACGCTTCCGGTGTCCACAGATGACCGGTGACGGTGAAGGATGGAATATGCCAATGATTAGGATTTTAAAATGCAAAAAATAAACACAAGTTGTAGGGTGGGGAAAAAACTATAAGATAATGAATAAATGACACTTGACGTACAGGCTATATTCGTTAATTAGTAGTTTTTTTAAGAGTTTTGAATCCAAATTTGTTGAAATTGAAGATGATACGAACTTGATTTATTGGTTGTTGAATTTATTTAATGTTTGTGAATTATCCATTAACCAGGAAGTGATTCATAATTTTGTTTTATATACAGATCTTTGAAAATTATAGGTACTGATTCATATACGTTGAAAGTTCGAGGGACGAGCCAATGCATATAATTTTTTAATTAATTTTCATAAAATTTAACTTGTTGAAAATCAGACCAAGTTATGAGTATGACAGATGTAGCTAAGACCGCCCCAGCACATACGCCCTCTGGCGTTACAGGGAAAAGATTAATAAACTAAATAATTTTTAAGGAATGATAATTAATATTTTTAAATTTATAAAAAAATATCTGACTTTCCAATTTTATCCTTCAATAAAATTGATAACTACAATAATATGTATATGAGAATTATAATAACATGATACGGTTAAGGAGGGACGATATTAAAAAAATAAAAAATATTACATCTTTTGTACTATATTTATGATTAAATAAGATTTTAAAATTCTACCCTATAATTAAGATCAACAAGAGTTTTTTTTTAAAGAATAAAATATGTTAGGCTTAAATTCAACCCCACTTTTAAAACATGGTTTAAATTAAGGAACAAAAATGAAAAAATAAACCTGCTAGGACAAATAAATAGGGACTCATGAACTACATTTTAGTAAATTTTCCCCTCATTTATGTGGAACATATCCCATTAATGTGCTAACAATACTTTAATTACGTTTAAGCCTGTAAGGGTAAAATAAGAAAGGTGTCATTAAATAGAGCTCTGAAAGTTTAAAATGACAAAAAATACTGATGATATACAAATTTTTTTCTAGTATTTTGAAAGGGTTTTTGCAAATATAGTCCGTACTATAAGATTAAACTAAGATAATAGCCCAATATTTCATATATTTCAAAAAATGTCCAGTTTAATATTTATTATTGATATATTGTTTATAGTTAAGACAAACACTTTTACAAATTTTACTGAAATCTTGTTATTGATACTGCTTATCAAACATATACAGTTGTGTATATCAATATGTGAAGTAGCCATACTTTTAAGTTTTCAGAAATTTGATCCACATTTTTAAGGTAGTAGCTGAATTTTGGCCAGTGTGCCAGTTTTCTCTATTTTGAAACGGAGGGAGTATCTTGACTTGAATAATGGAGGGTCTTTAATGGAATTCGATAATTCCAAAACGATTTTATATATAAATATACTACAATATATTATCGATTTAATTAGTATACCATGAAATTGGTAACTCCAATGAAAATACATGGAATAGTACAGGACAGTTTCATCCAAAACTGTGGACTTGGATCTTTATGAACAACAAATTTATATAATTGGTTCCCTCTCTTCGAGACCCTTATTTGCCACTTGACCAGTCTCAATTCTGACGCCAATTAAATTTTGGATATTATTTATAAATATAACATATATTTAAAAATAAATATAATAGATATGCAACTCAAAATGAAGAAGCCGCGTTGACATATCAGAAACATACAAAGAGATAACCGGAGGCCATCTGAAATGAATTTAATCGTTTTTTAAGAAAAACTAATCAGATTGAATTTTGCCAACGAGGCTAATATCTAATTAGGTACTGATATAGCTTGACAGTTAAAAGTAACATTTAACAAAATTCAAATACTAGACAAATACAAGCAATAATAAATGAATCAGTAGAAGACAAAGAGTGGCAATATTAATATTCCTTCTGGACCCTTCCATTGTTTTAATTAGAGATAATCTGATTGATTAATTAATCAATTAATTTGTCAGCCATGCATATGCTACAATTTAGTCCCAAAATCTCAATCACTTCCTCAATTTAAGGGTCAATTTAGTACCTTATTTATATATTAATTTAATTTTCTGTAAGTTGACTAATTACATCATAATTATTTTAGTATTGTTTCATCTTTGATGTACAACTCCCATTGCCTTTTTCTTTCAAGTTCTCATAATCACTTGTTAGATCACTTTAATTATTTAACACTTGGGATTAATATATTTTTCTGTCACTCGTCATCCACATGACATGAATAGGTTAATTAAGGTTTCGTAAACAGACAAAAATATGTAAGAGTTATAAATATATATTTATAAAAAAAGTTTAAATTTTTACGAAATTTTTATCAACTTTTAAAGTTAGAAATGGTAAATTGTACAGTCTCATGAGTTGATGAGAAAATTCTTTGTATTTTGACCATTATGCTTAATTAGGATATCTATGGTATAGAACTTGATTTTGCCCCCAAAGATAATGAACATGACTGTTTCTAGCCACTTCAAGAAAACAAAGAAAGGAATATTATTAAACCAAAAGGTAACTTGACTTGTAAATATAATATGGCCTGCCGTGAAAATTAGGATTTACGGATTCCATTATTATTATTATTACTCAATTACTTGATTAAGTGGAAAGAGATTCCATGGACAGAAGGTTAATTATAATCATTTGTCATTAACTTAATTAAATCCAAACCAATAACAAGATGGATTAAACCAACAGCAAAAGTTGGTCCAGTTGAGAAATGTTTGGCTTATAATCCACGATGTCATAGGAACAAATTTCATTACCAATGTGAAAATTTTATTAGTAGCCAATATACAAGTATTTCTGTAAATATTTTTTAAGTTTGAAGACATGTCTTAATTTTGGTAAGTATCAGTATTCAATTACTTATTTAAACTTTTTTCTCTCAAAAAAAAAAAATAGATGGATTGCACTATGCCACTAATGCGTTGGGGATTATTGGGGATAATTACTCCCTCTAGTCCTTTTCATAAAAGATATTGTGTAAAAATTTTTTTTTAATCTTATTTATAAGAGGGATAAGATTTATGTATTCAGTCTTATAGATTTAATATATTTATATTCAATTAAATTATAATAAGTGGATCTTAATGTTAATAAAACTAATAACAAAAATTTATTATAGAATAAATAATTTTTAAACGCTCCATATGTCATGATTTTAATTAAAAAAAAACACAGTAACTATATAAGGGCTTGCTTGGCAATTTATTTTGAAAATAGTTTTATGTTGTTCAGAATAAAAGAATAAAAAAATTTATTTGGTAACATGTTTTAATTTCAAAAAGTATTTTAAAGAATAAAAAATAAAATATTTTTTAGGAAAACAAAAAAATAGAAACAACTTTCAAGGCTATTTGAAACTACTTTTATTTTATTATTTTGAGAACTGGTATTTTATAAAACATATTCTGAGAACAAAAGAATAGTGAAAATATATAGGTATTTTTCTTATTCTTCCTTATTTTTCAAAACAATAATTTCAGAATATTTAAAAGTTATTTTTATTTTTTAGTTCTCTAAAATAATATTTTATTTTTTAATTTTTTAAAATACTTTTTAAAAACACGTTACTAAACAAAATTTTTTAATTTTTTATTTTAAAAAATTGAAAATTGTTCCCCAAACAGGTTACCAAACAAGCTTTGGGGATTCTTGTTCTGGAGAACAAGAAAAAAAATAAAAAAAATACTTATTTTTATTTTTTATTCTCAAAACATGTTTTATAAAATACTAGTTCTCAAAACAATAAAAATAAAAATAATTTCAAACAGCCCTTAAGTTTTTCCCTTATAAACAACTTCGCTTTCATGTCAGAAATAGTAATAAGTATTTTTTCTATTATAAGCCACCATTCAACTACATAATAAATAAGGATATTATTTCAAAACATTTTGTATTTTAACTTATTTATTGCATTTGGTGCTAAAAAAAACTTATTTGTTGCATTTTGAACATTTATATAAGTTATTTGGTTATTCGTCCCTTATAAAAAAAAGATCAGAGGGAGTAAATTTTAAGAAGTACGGTAGTTCATGCTTGTATTTGATGATGCTCCTATGATCCTTATTATAGAAATGTTAATAAGTAATAACTTCATATGCATTAGAATATTAAAAAAAGAAGAAGAAACTTCATATAAATTAAAGAATTCAGTAAAATTAATCAATATTCTTAAATTTAATCATAAAATCTTTTATAAGCCAATAAAGTTTATCTTGAAAACATTCATTGAAATCTTAAGAGTTGTAAGGCAGGGAGTATCAAAATAAAGATCATTTATAGAAAAAATAGTTAATGTTTTTGACAATTTAAAGAATGTTATATATATATATATATATATATATAATAAGGATAAAAACAGCATTTATTAGTTAAACTTTTGCATTTGATTTTGGGTATTAGTGCAAATTCACTCGTAAATTATAAGTCCAAAAGTGTTTTGAATCCTAAACTTATTTTTTATTTAATATTCTCTTTTAACTTTAAAAATGATACAATTTGATTTAATTTTGACTATTAAATGATTGGAATGATGGAAAAGTACTTTAAAAATTACATAAAATGATAAAAAATACAGTAATAACCTAAAAATTATAGATAAGGACTTCAAAACTTAATAAAAGGATAAGAAAATTTTATTGGTAAGTTTTAGTAATTTTGAGGTCCTTTTTTGTTATCTTTTAGTGAAGTAATAGTAAAATTTAATTTTTTATAAATGATAGGGAATAGATTGCACCATATTTAAAAATTGATGAGAAACATTGCATAAAAAATAAGTTTAAAGTATCAGACTTTCCTAAATTTGTAGTTTAGGGTCTTTTAACCTTTGATTTTTATTAATAGTATAATACATTTTAATTAATATGACAAAATATCTCCTTAATTTATTTTAATAATATATAACTAAGCTTGCGTCGGAATTTTTATCAAAAAAAAGTTGCCTTGGAATTATAAAGCTAGTAAAAATAAGAGAATAATTGAAAATATAATTATTATTGTCTTACAATTTTAAAATGACTGACAAATAAAAATATTTTTTCCAAAATTGACAAGCAAAGAAAGGAGGGAGTATAACTGTATAAGAATACACGTACGGACAACAATATAAGTTTCATAATAACATAAATGTACAGCAATATAATGTTTGAAATATAATTAAAATGAACATTTTTTTAAAAAAATATT